GCAATGCTGATCTGTTTGAAGATGGATATCCAGCCTTGAATGAAGCTGCCTATCACAAGGGTTAAAAAACAAACCCAAAAACCAGAACTCAAATGAAAAGCAAGCAAAGAGCAAAGGAACACAACAAACAAATCTCTGCACAGACTCAAAACCAGACTTCGAAACAAGGCAGCTGCAAATTCACAGTACACATGAGGCTCGTAGTAATTGCAAAAACTTTCCACTGATGGTTCAGGTGTGGTGACAGCCACCTCCCTTCCACCTGAGTGGCACAACACCAGTTACCTGCATGCCTCTTACACACTGCTTTCCTAAAAGCCACATGGGATGACAGGGTGGTGCTGGCTTCCTGCAATGAGCACTCACGCCCCATGATGGAACGAGGGGGATGCTGTAGTGGGCTCAGGGCAGCCACAAAGGGGAAGCCCTGAGAGATGCTATCCTTGAAAAAAGGCTGAGCAAAACCAAAGTACATGACCAAGAAAGAGCAGGACACAATACAGCACCACAGAATTGCACAGGGAAAAGGGAATGAGGGTCCTGAGCACAGGAGACCCCAAACAGCATTCCCTGCTTGATCCTTTCTTCGCTTAAAGACACCAAATTAGCCTCTCCCCTGGGCTCTTCCACCTGAATGATGTGAGGAAAATAACATTGCCTTAAGAAGCTGGAAACATATAGCTAACTCAGAAGGAGCAGGATGAATAAAGCAGAGGGACACTGCAAAGGACGCCTGAGCTGAGAGAACGCCTTCCTCAGGGGGACTCCAGCAGAAAATGAAAAAGCCTGGAAACAGAAGGTGCCTGGCCAGCATTGGCCCACAGCAGGGAGTCCTGGACAGCACTTCTCCCAGTGCTGGACCAGGGGAGGGAGAGGCAGGCAAGCTGGTGTCTCAGGGCCTGGTGAGCACGGGATACGTGACCCCGCGTGTCAGCTTGAATTAAGGCAAGGAGCGCCACTGGGCCTCGCTGCCCTGCACTCCCCTTTCTCTGGACCTGGCAAGGAGGAGTGGGGCTGTGCAATAAGCCCAGCTGTCAGATCCTCCTACATCATCTGCAAAGCCATCGACCCTCTCGGGACCTTTGGGAGGGGAAGAAACAATAAATAAGACCCAGAATGCATACTTACAAAAAGCCTACTCTATTTTTGGTTATAGGATTTCACTGTGCTTCTGCTGGTAAGGAAAGGTTCTCTCTCAGAGACTGCAAATGCAAAAGGGGGAAAAAATGGCAGAATGGATCTGGGTTTTGAAGAAAGAAAGCACAAAGGGACATCTTCCACTAAGATGGGAAAGAAAGATGCAAAACCTCTGGCTCCCTGATGTGCTGTCTAAGAACTAGGGCCAGATTCTGTGTTTATGGAATATGATGCTGAAAACTGAGGTTTACAGGAAAACCTCCCACAGTGCCTTAACATGGTGCCATAACAACCTCCCTGTCTAGAGAAATCTGCACAGAAGGGTAAGAACTTCCTGTGCCTCCTTTATTTGCTATTTATTTCCAGAACTGGGGACCAGTCCAGAGTTTTGCTTATCAGTTAGTGTTGAGGAAATGTTCTGACTTGAAGCATATCAATCTCCAAGATAACTACTCTCTGGACTTCAGCTTAAAAGGAAACCTTTACAAAACTTCAGCTCAACAGGGCAGGTGAGTTTCTCAGGCTGCCTAGCTTTAAATGCCAGACATACATTTCAAGCTCAATATGATTCTACATATAGGTTAAAATCTGATTCCACACAGCTTTATAAATTTAGTGCACATATTTGGTGTGTTTAATTAACTTCTTTACTTTGTTTTGGTACCTGGCAAAATTTGAGTACAAACATTTAATTTAATTCATTGCCATATATGATAATTCTATAAAATCCCTATCTAAGCCAGAGTATCAGTGTGACTCTCATCTATGAAACTCCTTGCTATTGTCAGTAACCATTTTTAAACACAGGTTTAATCTTCAGTCTGTGATATCATAACCTAAGGTCTCAGCTGTGCCTGGAATTATTCTGTACAGAGAAGTTGTAAACACTTGCATAAAAATAATGTAGTCACATCCAAATTGTTGGATTGAAAGGAGGTGTAAAAATAGTAGTTAATAATGCTTCATACACGGAACTAATTTTACAACAGCCTCAAATTAAAAAGCGGGTGGGGACTAAGAGGTGTCTTGATGAAAAATGCTGATTCAAAGCTTCATTTCTATTCAGTGATGTACAATGTCATTACTGGGTGGCTGCACAGAGCAGTGGCTCAGAGTAATTACCCTGTAATGCACAGTGACACTAATGTACTAGTAAACTACTGCAGTTTATACTCTATTCACCACCAGCATCAGGACTCTGAAAGGCAGGTAAAAAACCCCTGCATGCATAAACAATGTGTGTAAATGTCACCAGTGATAAAATTTTTAAAAAGGAGAAGGAAGAGGCAGTTACAAATAAATCTGTCAGCTGAGAATTGCAACTGCATAGACCCACAGGAGCAGTAAAGCTGTATCTTTTTTTGATAACACAGGAAGGAAAGATGCTTCTCTTAAAGCATCCTACCCAGGTTCTATTTCCATTTATTACAATTAAAACTGTAGGGTGGCTGCTTCTTTTTGCCCCTCTGAGCGCAAAGTTGGCCTGCACCTGGCACCCAGCTTAGTGCAAGGGTATGCACAGAGGGGAAATTAAGAGTGTCAAAGGAGTAATCAGAAGCATTAATGGTTTATGCTGACTGTCATAATGCTGGTCAGGTTTTAGAGATATAGCTACAGGAAATGTGGAGGAACCCAAGCTTAAGGACAGGTGTTTTTGACTCCTTTGTTTAAAACAGCTGTTCTGGATGAAGCCTGGAACATGACCCAAGCATGTCCTAAGGCGTCAGAAAAAGCAGACAAACAAAAAGGAATTATAAGCCTAATATACTTAGGGGGGAAAAAAATCACAATACTCTAATGGATTTTGGACGCTGAGACTAGAAATGAGGCAGTAGAGCTACACATACCACATCCCAGGGCCAGAGGAAAGCCTTGCTGTTCCCCCAGGAGACAATGCCAATTACTATGTTTTTAACAGCCCCTATTCACCAGCTAATGGATTGATTCCTCCAGAGCTGGCTTTCTCTCTGGCCCTCTCTTGTTAAGTTACACAAGAGTATTCAAGTCCTTTCACCAGCATACAGCAGCAGTAATATCAGTTCTTCCACTATGAGCAGTGCCTTCTTTAAGATCTCTCAACCAGGGGGGTGGAGGCCCTGGTGAAAGCTGTCAGTGTAGCAGTTTATGTTGGAAAAACTCTATTTTACCTTCTCTGCAAGCACTGCAACTGTTCTGCCTGACCCACTTTGCCCTGCTCCTGGTGGCACTGCCATTTATCTTGTAGAGGTAGTTTGCCCTCATGAACAGCAGATCACTGAAGAGTTTTGTTAGTTTTTAGCTCTTTCAGCTTGGAGGAAGCAAGACACTGATTCTCTGTCCTGCTGCTGCTCCAGCATCCTTCAATTTCCTATAGCCTGTTCAGATGCCAAGGCAAGGATTTACATTGACCTATTCTAAGTAAGCTCTGATTCATCACCTCAATGACAGACTAGAGCAAGAAGGTCCTGCAAGTCATAACTGTCTCTGCCTCACTAGAGTGCTCTGCCGTAAAAGCAAGGCAGTAAATTTTACCACAGAACTGGAGGTTTTCAAATGACTTAGAAGAAGCTGACGATCTCAAATGGACATGTTAAATCCCAGAGTACTTCACTTAAAGCTGAAGGGAGGTTCTGGACTGCCAGAAGATTGTGCACGACCAGCCTGACTCATGGCAAGACCAGATTTGGAGAGAGAACTGTGAATCTGGCACCCTCACACCACCCAGCACGTGGTTCCACCTCCCATTTTTCAATTAAGAGCAGTTAGAGAAACATGTGCACACACAAACACACACCAGTAGCCTTCAAGTGTTGTGGCAGAATGATGACAATCACCACACAGGTCAATTTGGTACTCTTTCTGCCACTGTAGCATCCTTTGAAGAGTGGGAAAAAGGGAAAAAAACCCAAACCTAAGGTATAGAATATCTCCATGTTATTGCACTTTGGCTGTCCTCTTCCTCCCCTTCTCTTCTTCCACAACATTCCCTGAGTTTAAAGTTAATATTCAGTTGCAGAGTTGACCAAGAAATCCCTTCATAATCCTGTATGATTTTTGCCTTGCTATCATATGTTCCAAGAAGAACAAGCTATTTACTTCGACATCATACCTGAATATTGGCCAACCTAACCAAAAGGAGCAAAGGGAGTTGTAAGAAGTCTGCACCACCACATATGCTTGCTTTGGGGACAAGCTCCTTTCCCCAAGCTTCAGGGACAAACACTGGGGGCTCAGCACTAGGGAATGATCCTCCAAATGGGGCAAAAAATCAAGGGCTCGCATTCATATTGCTTTATTTGCACCAGTCAAGCCAGGTACCTGTCTTAGCAGGCTATTCTGGACTTACTCTGTACATACTGGCTACTAGCATCACTCCTGAAGGCAATCAGCCCACCTAAAATTTAATTCATCCTCTGTAATGAACATCTCACCAAGTCTAGGAAAAAAACCCTCAAGCAACAGGAATGAGGACTGAATCTAGGCTTGAACCACTGTAAAACCCCATTCTGTACCCTTTACTCACCTGAAGGGCAGTGGAAATCTGCCCTTTTGCACTCTGCCAGCAGCTCTCTGTACCTCTGCACCACCACTAGGAAGGAAAGGTGCAAGACAGAGGGCAGGACATAAGGTGTACCTGTCCCTGCAGGAGCAAACTGTGGGGAGAGCAAACCACCCTGTGAAGTGATGGGATGTTCAAAGCTATGTAATGGGACACTGTCATCCTACATACATCTCTCCTGCAGGAATTAATTTGCTCCCCGGAGTGTCCTTGGATGGAGGGTGACAGCTTGGCCATGGAGGCTCAGTGAACAAGTGAGTGATATCCACCCATGCCTGTGGCTGGTTTGGAATGCAAGTGAATGGAGACTGTCCCACTGACTCACCCTTGGATGGTGGTCTCTCCAGATCCGAATCCAGGTGGATCGGTGGGGCAATGTAGGAAACTTGCCCGTGGTGAGCCTGCCCTGTGGACAAATAAGTGGTTTAGTTCTGCTGTTTCCTACACAGATCTATCAGGGCTACAGTCAAATACACAGCAATTGGCTTAAAAACAGCTTTGCAAGTATTTTGTTCTGTGTGTTTTTCACAATGAACTTCCATTTTGGAGGCACCCGGTGACAAGCTGAAACCACTTCCATCTCTCACTTCTTCCTTGCAGACACGGGTATGCTGGTGAACTTTAGTTACACCTGCTTTACCACTGCTACATATACTTTACACCACATTCCTTTGAAACATGTTCTCTCTTTCTCTCTCTCCATATATATGTATGTATGCCATGGAAGAGAACCCAATTTCACACAAGCCCATTCAATCTGTTAATCTCACTTCAGGAGGGAAACAAGAGTTCCTATGTCACAGCCATTTCTGAAGGAAGCATGGTACGAGGCACAATCCCACCTGTTTGTCCCACCTGCAGAAGACACACATATTATTTTTCAGAGCTCAGCATTGCTTTCACATGAGTGGAAGATATTTTTTGTTCCAAACACCATCATGCAGTTTCTCAGTTGCTAAAGACTCAATTCTTCTCCAGCAATTTGGAGGTAACTATATCGAGAAACTTCTATTTATAATAAAAACATTTTTTTATAATTCATCTATTTACTGTACCAATTTACAGGGTTGTTAATCTCTTCTTCTAAACATGGAAAGTTAATGACACATAGATTATGATAACAGTTAGAGTAACCTTCCCATTTCAAGTAATATTCGTTCTGCAATAAAAGCAGTTGATTCCTCTTAAGAGACACATTCCAAATAATTAATACAGCTCCCTGTTGACACTTGCTGTTGTTGCTCCAAGCAATTTCCAAGCTAGCGTCACAGGCAGAGGAGCAGCAGTACAGTCTTCAGGCTTCTTTGTAATGACATCCAGGAATACCACAAGCACAGTATGTTGGTGCACATAACATGTTGAAAACATCTCTTCAGGGAGATAAAATATTAATGAGAAAGGGGAGAGAAAAAAAAAAAAAAGAAGTGTGTCTGAATGTGCAGGTTATATTTACTGCTTTACACTGAGGATGACTCAGATAATTTGCATTATTAGCCATTACAACAAGTGGACGTAATTCAGGTTTAAAATCTACTGACACATCATAAATTCTGTATTTGCTTTTAAGTGCTTTAACATGGGAGATTTGCTTCAGGCGAACCCATAGCAAACAACAAGTTGCTCCGTTTTCCTCTTCTCGTTTACATGTTAAAAACCCATTTGATGTCATTAGTGAGCAAAAGTCATCATTTAATAACTGCTCGGTTCTGCAGCAGAAACAAGCAGATGGTCTTCTCTCACCCCGAGCTGCTCAGTGTGCAGGATGATCGGTGCCCTTATAACCACAGAACAGTCTCCTCATTTGCTGCATCAAAGATACCACTGAAATGTAAAACAGCTGAGCTTGGCAGGAAACTCTGGAAATCACCTAGCCCAGCTCAAGGGCAGCAAGAGCCCACAGCAAGTGTCCAATCTGATTTCCAATATCTCTAAGGACGGAGACTCCACAATCACTCTGGGCAATCTGTACCAGTGCCTTGCCACCCTCACAGGAAAAGAAAAAATAGAAAAGCTTTTCCAGTATCTGCCTGTAAGAAGAGCCTGGCTCCATCTTCTTTATTCCCTGTCATCATGCACTTATACACATCAGTAAGATCCCTTGGATGATCTGGTCCAGGCCAGATACTCACAGCTTTTCAGCCCATCCCCACAAAGAGGTGCTTCAATCCCTTTATCATCATTATGGCCCTTTGCTGGACTTGCTCCAGGCACACTGCTGACACATGGTTTTTGAGATTTTTTTTTTTTTTGTTTGGTTGGGGGTTTTTTTAACCACCTGATCTTCCTGGGAGCAAACAACAACAACAAAAAAAAGAATTATTCTGGAGGCTTAAAGGGCTAGGCAGGAGTAAATAAGATACACCCACATTATATGAAAGAGTAAAAAACATCTGTGAGTTTGTTTAGACATTCATTACAATTGAGTAATAACTATGGAAGCTTATTATTGCTTTATTAAGGCTTTTACTTTATATGGAGGAAGCAATAGTGTCAAATGCTCTTAGTGATAAATGAAACAAGTTGCAGAAAGCTTTTATCTAGTTGCTGATGCAAAACAGTACTTCCAAAAAAAAAAAAATTAGACTTCTGTTACTACTACTACCACTACTATGTACTACTAAAAAAATCCCCAGACTTCTGTTAGACTGCACACTTCTCACAATGCTAATAAATCAAACTTTGGGTTATAATACTCCTTCTCCAAAAAAAGCAATGCAAACAATTGTTGTGAGTCATTTTCTGGGCATGAATGCCAGCTCACTTGTTCTTCAGACTCATCAGAGTGTTCAAACTGGAGAAACAAAAGAGTCTCCACTGTTACCTTATGAATCGTTTTAATCAACAGAATCACAGTTTTGCTTTGGTTTTACCATTACTGCCAGTGGTGATCTTTGAGACAGTTGAGGGAAGGGAGGCAAGGGGAGGTGTATGAAGCAAGGCCTGGCAATGGGGCTGGTACACAAGCACATGGTCTTCTTGGCTTTAATGGCATTAAACGTGCTGCCACTCACTCAGTTAAAAAACAAAATTTTACCCAATGGACCAATGAAGGGTTTTGAGACTGATATCACTGGTACAGCTCAGATTGATCTCAAAGGCTGACAGAACGAATGAGGCCGACTCCCAGTCCTTGTGGAGTGAGTTTTGCAGTTTCAGATGCTGACTACAAGCCCCAGCCCTAGGAATGAGGGACTCCCTCTCTTCAGTTCCAGCTGCTGTAGAAAAGCACTTTAAAAAAACGGATGTGGCAAGCCCCAGCCCTAGGAATGAGACTTCAGTTCCAGCTGCTGTAGAAAAGCACTTTAAAAAAACGGATGTGAGAGCCTTAAAAAAACCCAATAAAATAAAAGGCAGAAACACTCCAACACTCCACACCTGTCTCTCCAGTCCTTCAGCTGTTTTCTCTGCACATTGAGTCTGAGCTGACAGTGGTACAGGGAAAAGAAAGAAGACTTCTGACAAAATACCAAAGGTCAAGATGTCTCTGTTGCTGATGGGAGGTTGAGTGTGCCTCGTATCGGAACAGCTTGCATGGCCTTCTCCCAGTCCCACCCTGCCTATAACCATCTGCTCTTTCTGCAGCCGGCTCCCAGGTAAAAAAGTAAACAGCAATCCAATGTAATCATCAAAGTATTGTTTGATGAAGTTGCCAATTTTGCGCCTACGAGCTCAGGTTGTGCTCTATTTCCTTCATCCCTCTAGCCTGGAGAGGCCTGTGCCCATGGCTCCCTGTGAGGGCTAATGCTGGAAGACAGCTGCGGATCGTCCCTTGTACCACAACACAGGGATGCAGGTCTGGCCAACGCTGCCTAAATACCAACACCATCTCAGCTGAGACAGGGCAAACAGCAGGTGTGGCATAGGTGGACACAAACCAGCAGTCTTCATAGCAGCCAGGCCACCTGCATGTGCTGTGACAATGTGGGAAAAAACCCCCATGTTTGGTAGAAACAATTTTGGGAGAGACAGTATGGATATGACCTTGAAAGTCTATCTGGTGACATGCCTTCCTGAGGTAAGAGGAAATGAGAAAGATGTTTGTGAATTAGAAAAAGTGCTTGACTGGCCATTATTTTTGGGTCTGACACATGAGAGATATAACAGATTTTAAAAAGCCAATAACTTAGAAGAACAAAGATAATGTTTTATGAAGACTGAAGGAAACATAATAGCTTGGCCTAAAGGATTTTTTTTTCTACTGGTTTTTAAAAAAGGGCATCTGGATGCTCATAGACAGAAAATAAACATCCACACATCTTCAAAATTCTGCCCTTAAGTGATTTAGTCATCTACAGATGAAATGACATAAAACCACAGAAAAAAAATATCTGCAAATGCATGGCTAACCAAGAAAAGCAACAAAGAAGTCTCATGTGTGTATCTATTAAAACCACTTCCTCCTGAACTGTTTTAGAAGCATACCCACTGTTTGTAGCACCTGAGAGGGAAGGCCTTCCTCCTGATCCTTGGCCAAATTTCCAGTGCTGGTGACATTTGATTTTTCTAGAGTACAGTGCCTAATGTCATGTGTGCACATGGGAAACTTTTCTGCCTGGCCCCTGCTCATTTTCTACCTGAGATTTTCCAGTGCACTATCAAAGAGAAAACCTGAATAGAAAACATGACTGAATGATTCAAACCCCCAAAAGAAAAGGGAAAATAACCACCATTTACCAGGCTAAAAGGCTTTTTAAAACACTTGGTGACTTGTCTCCTAAAGCCCTGGTGATGCCATGAAGACAACCACAATCACCTGAATGAATGGCTCTCCCTTTTCCCTGCTGCTCCTTTGCTCAGTGCCCATGGTGGGGTATGGGCAGTTGCACACCTGAACTGCAGTTCTGCCCCACACCTGACTCAAATCCAGCAGCAGCAGTGAGAACCCACCAGGAGATATATATTTTTTTAAACAAACATCCTTCAAACTCTTTGTTCTCAAGAGATGAAAGTCCCTTTTCTTTGCTGTCCTTATCCAGAGGCGATCACTACAACACATTTTTTTGCTGTCATGTCAGATTACTCAGATTTCCACCCATTTTCCAGCCTATTTTAGCATTCTTTTGTCTTTCACAGGTTCACCACTTCCCAAGATCCTTTTCAGACAACCTAGTCAGCATTTCATGCAGAGAATTTAATTTAATTTCGTGCTGGTATCTCTGATGACCCGTGTTCCCAGGTACTGCCTCTCCTACACCCCCTCTTCTCTGAACCACTGAATGCAGGCACCTCCATGGATGTAATCCCTCATCTGTTAGTCCATTTGCTTGGATCATTAATTAGGTAATACCCATGAAACCACATATCCATTCCTGAGCCTTTGATTTCAGTTCTTCGCATATTTTTACTTTTTTAAAAAATAACAATAGCATGGACACATACTAGGTATGCAAAATACATATTCTGAGG